GAAATTAAATCCTATATATGCTATACAATCCCTAAGAATATAAAAAATATAAATATGGAAAGATCTTTATTGTTATATACGGTAACATAGCTCCCATTATGAATGACTAATACATCACTCATCATAGCAGAGGGCATTGAAGCAATGCAGTACAAGGAAGGAAACCGCTCCCTCAGTGGTTGGTATCCCACCAACAATCATCCCAAAATCTAATATCATTACCATTCCCCACCACAAAATTCAGTTTGTCCCGAATATCACTCCATCCCCCATCAGATATACCTCCACAAGCTCACCCCATAAGAACCACGACCCTCAACCGTACACCAACCCACCTCCATCACACCATACGTCACCCTAATGATTTTCTCTCCAAAAGCTTTCCCTCTTCACTCCGCCACGACCACTTACCCAATAAGACTATTAAACAAAATAAGACTCCTCACTCCAAGGCCCCCCATCCTCATAGGCAAACAAACACTACCCCAATTAACCAAATGAAGTTTCCTCTCCTCTCCCAACCCTGCCCATAGAAATTTCCTTTGAAGTCTCTCTAACCTGTTTGTCACTGCAACTGGAATAGGAAACAACGAAAAAAATAAATAGGGAGATTGGAGAGTCGATTTAATGGGAGTAAGTCTGCCTCCCTTAGAGAGATACATATGCCTCCTCTCCATCCTTTCCACAATACCATTCCAAATGTGTACTTTTAAACCATGCCCTTAGCGGGAGCCCTAGGTATGACATGCGAAACTATGCAACCTTACAACCCAAAATGCCAGCCAACTCCTCCACGTTAACGACCTCTCCTACTAGAATAGCCTCATATTTCCCCAAATTGATCTTCAAGCCAAACACCACTTCAAAGCATAGGAGCAAATAACAAATGGGACACCAATAAGTGCCCCGAACCCTCTCCACAGCTTTTTCATCCATTCTACTAGCAGTGGAGACAATGGATCCCCTTGCCTCAGTCCTCCACTGCTCTGAAAATAACCCTCAGGTGTTCCATTGATCAAAACTGAGAACGAAAACGTAGAAGTACAAAACTGAATCCACTTGCACCACTTATCCCCAAAACCACATCGCCTAAGCATATACAAGAGGAATCCCCAGTTCACATGATCACAAGCCTTCTGAATATCGAGCTTAGATAGCATTCCTGGAACCTTCAGACACAATCTTGAGTCCATGTATTCATTCACTATAACTACAGAATCCAAAATCAGGCGCCCTTTTACAAAAGCATTCTAAAACTTAGATACTACTTTCCCAATCCCCAAAGCAACATCGCCTAAGCATATACAACAGGAATCCCCAGTTCACATGATCACAAGCCTTCTGAATATCGAGCTTAGACAGCATTCTTGGAACCTCTAGACACAATCTTAAGTCAATGTATTCATTCGCTATAACTACAGAGTCCAAAATCAGGCGCCCTTTTACAAAAGCATTCTGAAACTTAGATACTACTTTCCCCAGCATCTTTAATCTGTTAGCCAGATCTTTCGCAATAATCTTATACACCCTATTGACTGGGCTAATAGGGCAAAAGTCCTTAATATCAGTCGCACCCGACTTCTTAGAGATTGCACAATAAATGTAGTGTTGGAACTTTTCAGGAACCTGCCACGTTCAAAAAAATAAGAACATTCATAATATCCGCTCGCACCACTTCCCAACAGGCCTTGTAGAATGAAAAGGAGAAGTCGTTCGGTCCAGGGGCCTTGTCATCATTCATACTAAACACTATACCTCCTTAACTTCATCCTTCCCAAATGGTCTCTCTAACCAACCGGCATCCTCCTCCATGATGTAGAAAAATTCAATCCCTCCAACTCTGACCTCCACTCAAACTGCTCCTGATAGAGATTCTGATACAAGCTGCTAGCTAGAATCCAATATCCTGCGGTTAACCCCATCGACCTCCAATACTGTAATGGAATTATTGTGCCTATTACAATTACCGACTGTGAAAAAACTTAATGCACTTATCTTCCTCTTTCAACCACGTGACCCTAGATTTCTGGCGCCAACCAATCTCCTCCATCTTCACCAACCTCTCCAACTCTTCTCTTAATAATCTACGTCTCTCCTCCTCCCCAGCCAACCCTCTGCTCTTCTCCCGCTTATCCAATTCTTCTATGTCTGAAAGACACTGCATTTTACAACAATTCACATAGCCCACAACCTCCTCATTCCATCTCTTTAAATCCCCGTTCAAAGCCCTCAACTTCTGATCCAACACATAACTAGAAGATCGCGTGACTTGATAAGATGCCCACCAAGTCTGTAAGCGCTCCCCAAAACCTTCAACTTTCAACCACATCTTCTCCCTCCCACTCTCCACAAATCAAGAGCCTGTCAATACGAGAGAGGACAAGTTGGTCCCGATTAGATGACCAGGTAAAATCCCCTTCAATCATGGGCATATCCACCAACATATTTTCCCTAATGAAATCTGAAAAATCCTCCATAGCCATGGGGACGAAACTGAAGTTTAGCACTGCTTATCATCCTCAGACAGATGGACAATCAGAAAGAACCATCCAAACTCTGGAAGATATGTTGAGGGCATGTGTTTTGGATCTTGGAGGTAGTTGGGAGACACACTTGCCTTTAGTGGAGTTTGCTTACAACAATAGTTTTCAGGCCACTATAGGTATGGCTCCATACGAAGCTCTTTATGGTAGGAAGTGCAGATCCCCTATCCATTGGGATGAGGTTGGAGAGAATAGAATTTTGGGTCCTGAAATTATTGAACGAACAGTTGGGGTAGTTGATAAAGTTAGAGCTAGAATAAAGACAGCACAAGACCGACAGAAAAATTATGCAAATCGTAGGAGAAAGGATTTGGAATTTAGTGTGGGCGACAAAGTTTTCCTTAAAGTAGCACCCATGAAAGGTATATTGAGATTTGGCAAGAAGGGAATGTTGAGACCGCGATTTATTGGACCTTTCGAGATCCTTGAAAGGATTAGTGTTGTAGCTTACCAACTTGCCTTACCACCTGAACGTGCAGCAGTGCATAACGTGTTTCATATATCGATGCTCAAAAAATATGTTCATGACCCCAATCATGTAATAAGTTATCAAACATTGAACGTACAAAAGGACTTGTCATATGAAGAAACTCCGACGATGATTTTGGATAGAAAAGTGCATCGGCTAAGAAATAGAGAAGTTCCCCTGGTCAAGTTCCAATGGCAAAATCATGGACCCGATGAGCCAACTTGGGAGAAAGAAAATGAGCTTAAAACCAAGTATCCAGAACTCTTCGTTTAACCAAGGTAAATTTCGAGGACGAAATTCTTTTAAGTAGGGGAGATTGTAACGCCCCGAAAATTTTAGAATAAAAGGGTATATTATTATTTTTATATATTTTGGAAAATTGAGGACTAAAACGAAATATATTTTAAATTCATATTTTAGTTGGGCCAAATAAGTAAGTATCGATAGAATGAGATTTTATTTATCAATATTGGGCTCGTTGGATAGCCCGTAATTAATTACATATGTTAGTCTTGAGGAAAAGTTGATATGAATAAGTTAAACCCAAGATATCGAAGTTTAAAGAAGTTGTAGTTTATTATAAATTAGTATGGATTCTATTTGAATTTAAAGTGTTGGCCACTTCCCGTAGGAATATATATATATATATATAATTTTGGAAAATGTGTGAATATAGGAATTTTCCTTTTTGTTGCCTCACTTTTATAACGTGTACTTTTGATAAGATTTGGTGTGAAGGACAAATATGGGAAATTGGTGAGTGAAATGCTGAATTCTTGTCTGCACACATTCTGGAAAATTGACAACTTTCATCAATTAAAAGTGCAAATAATGGTACACGGCAATCATGGTCCTATACTATCAATGTTTCAACCATCATTGGCTTGAAATTAAGCAAATTGTCGTGTTTGACTGTGAAACGACTTTCAAACGTGCAAAATTTAAAGACACGCATTGAGTCATTTTATGGAAAATACGTGATTTTAGAATATAATATAAATATTATGGATAAAAATTATGATATGTTTTATTTATTCAAAAACGTACATACACACGGGACATCAGAGAAAGATTGTGGAACGTGGGAATTATTTCTTTTTTGCTAGAAAACTCTTTTAATCAATCGAGGTAGGATATTGAGGTGCAAAGTTTTTTGTCTCGTTTAATTATTATTCTTACATGTTGATAAATTTTATGCTCATGAAAGTTAATGATATGATATGATGTTCTATGATATGAATGATATGGTCATTCCGGTACAATGATATGATATGATACGATATGTTATGAGCTCTTATCGGATTTTAAAGATATGAGACGGTATGATATTCTGATACATGTGTTTAAAATTTTTATTCGGGATTGCACCATTAAAATTTTTACATCCTACTGAATATTCCCATATACTCACCCTTTTTCTCTACACCTCACAGGGTAGATCGGGTTATGTCGGAGCGTGGTGGTTCGTTGGTGTGTTGGTGCCTTGTTTCGCTGGTTAAAGATCTAAGTTAGCACGTAATTTAATTTATTTTAAATTTATTGCAATGAACATTTATTTATAAATAAATTTTCGTATATGTTTATATGCAAATGGATATATGTAGTCTGCATTTTAAAATAAAATTTCGAATTAAACATTATTATTTTTTATTTCACTACTAGTATTCTTATAAAAATGACTGGGTATGCTTTTACTATTTGGTTCATGTTAAAGATAATCTTTGTGTAAATTATGTGACATTCCCAAAATTAATGAAAACGTATTGTCTAAGCAACGTCACATCACTTTTTTTTATATGACTGCTTGGGTAGATTTAAATGTTGGTGAATGACAGTCACTATACATGCTGTGAGTACCTATTTATTTTGAATTAATTTGTGGCTTCCGTTTTCCATGCATACCAAATTTAAATTGAACGTGCAATAATTGTAAAAGCAATTTATCACGTTACTTGTGTCGAGATTCAGTGATAATTATTACGCGTTCATAAGAAATCAAAGGATTTAAAAATAAATATAAAAAAAATTTGTAGCGAATTAAATTATGATGATTTGGCACGTTACATTATTGACTTACAGTATACTTTTGTATAATCTTTTTCAGCTTCTGCCTGGTTCTTTTAGAGGTTTCTGCATTCCAGTGGATCTCAACACGATCCCAGCGGCACAATTTAAGGACTTCTTTCAACTCGGTCTCAATATTTCTTCTACTAGCTTCGATGCGTTCCAAAATTCTGAAAACACCAGAAACATTTACTTTTGATATAACCTGAAAATAAAAAACTCGAGCGACCTATTAAGATGTATATAAATTTCACAATTGTTGGCAACAGAGAACTTACAGTGGCAAGAATTGCACATAGAAGCCAAATGTGTTGTAGAGAACTTTCACATTCTCTGCATGGTGAGGGTTGCATAATTTAATGCAAATTAGCATCTCAACTTTACGAAATCATTGGTGGAACAGTTTAATACAATACAAAATGAGAAAAGGCATGCTTTCAGTTTTATCCGATGAAGAATTAACTGCTTTTCCAGTATCTAATTTAACATGTAGCCAAAGCACAAAATATTCTGCTATACCGAGAATAAGACCCCCGGCTCAAACCATTACTAATTTGTCCATGGAAAGCATGGAGTAATTGAAGACGCTTTTTAAATTCACCAATGCTGGACATCTGAACAAACTCTTCCAAGCTGCATGTTCATTTTTCATTAGACATTCGTGACAGTAAGTTGATTAGAAATCTTTATTAACTACGCTGAATTTCAGTAGAGAAAAGTTAATGCAAGCCTTTGAATTGTAGATAGATTGTATTCATCAATATCATTATCAGCAGCATGTCTATGTTGAAGAACAGAATATAATGGAAACCATAACCGCATAAAATTGTAAAAGGTTAAGAACTCATATGATAGGAGCATATCACACGAGAAACAATTGATTGCATTTAAAAATCCTGAAGATCGAAAATTTAACAGGCAATTGATTGCATCAACTAAATCTTAAAATTTAAAATTAAAAGGGGTCTATCGAGAAACACACAATCCAGTTCTACCTTTGGTTGTGCACTACAGATAATGTATTGCATTACTATAGAACTGTGCAAATTGTTAGTTTAAGCATTAAGAATAATGTATAGCACCCAGTCCTCTCTTCAGAACACATATTAATTGTGTATTTATATTATAAGGATCCTCCAACAAGGAATACACTCTGTAGATTGAAACCTAGATAACTTTACAACGGTCAAATAGAATTCAAATTCATACCAGGCACACTGAAACTATAACCATTGTGAATGTGTCTGTATCATTTTGAGATACCCCGTAGGCTTCCTATCTATGTTGGATGTATTAATATGTCAGTTTGACAAAATTAGGTTTCTTCAACTAGGATCTATATTCTAGCAGGAAAATAAAATGTGAGGAAAAGACCAATGTTACCTTCGCAGCATTCATCTCAAACTGTAACTGAAGTTCATCCAGCAAAGCAGGCCAAGATTCGAACTCCAACTTATGCCATGAGGACGCCAGCATGAGAATTGGGTCCAATTCATCTAAAGGAAAATATTTGAGGATAAGAAACAGATTTACTCGTATTCCATCACAGACAACCATATGCAGTAAAAGGTTAATTGCTTACCCCAGAGAGGGAATTTTGCAACAGTTTCCTGTAAAATTTGCACCCGGTTAAGAAGGAACTGCAACCCCGAGAGAACCTTCAACGGAAAACAAGACGAGTTAGGTATTTAGGTATTGCAACAAGCATATCCTGCTGTGAACCATAAAATATCATATCAGCACAAGCAGATAGCTAAATTCAAGGATACTAAGTTCCCTTGGCAAATAATGATTTTAGTTTTCTGATTATATATTTTAACTGACAAGGTGGAAACCAGGGAAGGAAGGTAGTAAGGTGGCGGTAAGAAAAATTATAACTTCAACTAGTTTCGACTCAAAAGTCTGACAGCAAGAGTATCATAAGAAACAAAGAAAACATAGAAGAACATAAATTGGGTTAAGACCCTGATATATTATATTTTTGGTATCACAGAAAAAGCAATAGGATGTACAGCACATTATTTGCTCATTTTAGTTCCACCCATAAAATGCTTTTAAAAGGTAAATTAAATCTCAAAAACCTTACGCTTGTAGTAGACAATCTACCTTGGCGAGAGGAGTGCTCAATGGTAGAGCCAATATCATTTCAATTACATCCAAGATTTTCTGAAGAGCAGGATGATCATCCCATTCGTTCAAAAGCACGAGAATTCGGCGCTTAAGAATCATAACAGGCTCCACCAATTTAACCATCATGGATGAATTTGGATCCTAAACAAGAATCAAAGAGAAAAGAAGTTAATAAGTGATCATTTTCAAGTGTAAACAAGCAAATGTAAAAAGACAAAGGCATTTTACAAAAGACAAACCTTGTAAAAATTGTACGTGTGAGTTAATTTGTGAGACAATTTAAACTTGTGATCATGCTCTATACAGAGGCGAAGTAAGTGTTCTGGCGTAACCTTAGCATCGAAACGAGAGGAGAATAAACCTTTTAAATCTGGAAATTGAAAGGAATGAGAAATTTTACCTAAACAAAATTAAAAAAAAAAAAATTAAAAAAATTGATAAATAGGAGACACGCCTTTAATCATTTGAACTCCCAAAGTATATGAGCCAAGGAAGGAAGATAATCTGTCCAAATCAGACACGTGCATATTTCCAGGCTGAACAGGAAAAGCAATGATAGTTATTGTTTCTTAAATGAAAGCTCAGATTGATGACAGAAAAATGTTAAGAAATTGCATGTTAAATGAGTCCAATACAGAATTAATGAATGTAAAATCTATCTTCAATAAGTTTATTGTACGGCAGACATACAATTGTGGAGCCTTTCGGCAACACTATTGAGCACATCCATGCTCAAAGAAGATGAATTCAATATGCTCATTAAGCTTAAGAGTAACGACGACGTATATGTTTCCCAGAACTTATAAATGACTTTGCTTCGGAAAGGCAAGATATTTGTGAGGGTCCCGTAAACAAGATGCGTAATAGAAACTCTTCACTTTTCCAGCATTATTTAAAGGTTAAGGAACACCATGATTTTTAGCTATTCACACACATCACACTGAGATTAGAACAATCTAAGTAGAAACAAGATTTGATGTCCTAATCTTTTATGAATTAACCAGGATTAACGAATGTAAAATCTATCTTCAATAAGTTTATTGTACGGCAGACATACAATTGTGGAGCCTTCCGGAAACACCATGAGCACATCCATGCTCAAAGACTGAAGAATTCAATATGCTCATTAAGCTTAAGAGCAATGACAACGTATATGTTTCACAGAACTTATAAATCACTTTCCTCCAGAAAGGAAAGATACTTGTGAGGGTCCCAACAACAAGACGCGTAACAGAAACTCTTTACTTTTCCAGCATTATCTAGAGGGCAAGGAACACCATGATTTTAGCTAATTCACACACGACACTGAGATCAGAAAAATCTAAGTAGAAACAAAATTCGAAGTCCTAATCTTTTATGAATTAACTAGTATTTTTCTATAGATCCCTCATTCCGCTATTTGATAAGCTCGACTTGCTCCTACTTAATAGCTCAGCAAAAGTTAATTACGAGAGCATGCCACAAATATTGATCACATACAATTTTATTAAAAATAATAACAAGTTTCTTATGAAGTTTAGCACTATCTTTTTTTTTGAAAGGTTAAGTATAGCACAATCTTATAGAGGAAAGGTCTTTCACAGGCATCAAGATAAATTATTATTAGAGAATGTTAGTGTGTGCTGATGTGTGTGTGCATTGATATTGAAAGATCAGGTATACAGCAGTTAAGAGCTTTGTCTAGCCCTTGTTTGGCCCCCATTTTCTAAAACTCATTTTTAACCACACATTCTCCTAATAAATAATTTTGCAGGTGGACCCATAGCTTTTCCCACTTTTTAACCACACATTCTACAAAAAAATAAAAAATAAAAATTATATATTTTTTCACAAAACCTATTCTAAAGAAAAATCCCTACCAAACACAAGCCTGTAAGCTAGTAAAACTTGTGTTTGAATCATGTCAGGCGAATTTATACTAAGCTATTAAAAATTTATGCTGGAATCAGGTAAGGTGAATTTGAAGTGAACTTACATTTCGAACAAGGTCCAGTGAACCAAATAACTGATTGTGAACCTGGACCAAGTCATTCAAATTGAATTCCACTGTGGAATCCCAATCTTCCTCCAAACTTTCATGTTCCTCGTCAGCTTTGGTCTACAAACACAGTTACAGACACTGTCACACACTATATTGCTATACACACCTAATATACATCCACGTACACGTACACATTTCCATGACCACACAGGGCATGAGACTAGGCAATGTTAACTTTTCAACATGTTCTTCAGAAAGCATTTCTTCCCATTCGGAGAAGCTTTCGTTTGGAAGCAAACTTGCTAGGTTTGAGATATCAATTTCAATAATGCTCTCGATCTTAAATGCACGTGTCTTGAACTTGAACTGTTGTGCTTGGTTATCTTCTCTAGCTTTCACTTTGAGTTTCATATGCATCCATTCTCTAGCAAACTTATCAAAGATCTCATCCAAAAGCTGACAAAGTTTATAGTACAACGTTATTTTAAGATGGCTGATGTGAGAGAATGGTCAAATTTCATGTAGTAAGTCCTCACCTTGAAGGTAGCATAATCCAGAAAACGTGCATCGGCAACAGAATGTTTGATTTGTGCTAGAACATTCTGATAAATGGAAATTCTAAGTTGCGAGGTCAAGACCTAATGTAAAGTAGTAGAAGAAAGATTACAAACGCAATTCACAAGAAGCCAAGGACAACATAGAAGTCTTGTTGCATACCAGGCTTTAAAACAAAGGAAAGTCATTGCAATCAGAATTACTAACCGTTCTATTGTTAATGGAATTTTTTGTGAAACCAATTATTTTCTCTAGCAAATTCAAATTTACAGCACCAATGCTTGTTGGCAATTCAATATCACTGGATGACAGTTTGGCCTGCTTATTGTCAACATTGATAGAAACAGTTCTCGCTGCACAGCCTCGAGGGAATCTCATGAAAGTATAAATTGTGCGCTGCCAATAAACTTCAAGTGTCAAGTGCAAACGGCTAAGGGAAAACAAAATAAAAAGTAGGAAAATGGATCACTTATTTACCAGAACCATCTCCATATCGTGCTCTCCAATATATTCAAGATACTTTTTGGACAATAAACTAGAAAGTATCAGTGATAAGCCAAATTTCATTTCGTAAATTGCAACTTGAACAGGTTGAACGACATCAACATACGAAGAGTACACATTTGACAAGCGCTCAATAAAGCACGAAGCTGTCACCTGAGATACAAGGACATTAAAGAAAAAGAAACCTTGAGATAGGAAATTATACACTTTGCACGCTATTGCATCTAAAGACAAAACAATTTACTGATCTAAATGATGGCAAACAAATTATACCTGCCAATTTTTTAATTGGTCGGTAACCTTTTCTATACGCATGCTTTTGACATTCATGATCCAATCAATAGAACTTGAAACCAACTTACGGAAATCATCACACTCACGCTTCAACTCCCCATATTTTCCTGGATCGGAGCGGAATGAAATCTGACATAAGAGCAAACAAAATTAGGTGGGTGCAAGTATCTCCTTTGTGTATAAAGAAAATAATAAATATTTAAACGATTTTCAATGCAAACAGATTTAGTAAACTGAATGGACAAAGAAACATGAAACCTGAAAAGAATTTAAGTGTCTTCATGTGATATGAGAGTAATTGTCTATGTGAATACAATTTACAAATAGTTGATGTCATTAACTAATAAGCAAACAGCTTCTTTATTTTATAAACAGTGCCCATGGAAGTAGATAAAAACAATCTAAAAAACAATTTTATTACAGATAAAAATAAAATAAAAATTAAAAAAAAAAAAAATTAGTGTAAAATTATAAACCATCAGGAAAATAAATACTTATCCTGAAGTTTTAAATATCCACATCCAGAATCTCATTTCCAATAATTGTCTCAAAGAATGAAAACAGATTCTAAAAGGAGTAGAATTTAAACTAATATCCTCACTCTTTAAACATACATTTCCTTATTGGAAGTAACAATGTCACAAGTATCAATGAATTTTAGACCAAATGTAAGACAGGTAAAATGACTAAAGGACTTCAGTTAACTTATCTTCCAGAATTTGTCTATCAAATCTTTATCAACCTACAAAGATCATACATGGATTAAACAATGTCAGACAGGTAAATGACTCCAGGACTTCAATTAACTTATGTTCCAGAGTTTGTCTATCAAATCTTTATCAACCTACAAAGATCATTTATGGATTAAACAAGTGCCATTCCCCCAGCTCTTAACAAGGAAAATAAGCGAACCACTGACACTGGGAAGGAGTGTCTGGAGAACAAAGAGCATCAACCCAGAATCACAAATCCACATAATATTAAAATGCCCAAAAATATTAGTTACAGGCATGACATAAGTGATCTGCTGTGTTCGTAGATTCCAACATGATGGCCACATCAAGAATAAGGACACTTACATCAAATTTATACACTTTGGTTGATACTTCATTGTTGTCAACAATGCATTGGATGAAAAATCTAGTTAAAATTTAAACTGTCCAATTGGTTAATGACACGTGGCAAAGTGCAAACCAAAATGTACACCAAATTGTAAATGTAGCAAGGTTCCAAGAATAATTTCAAGCAAAAAAAGAGATTCAGTATAACACTTTGGAAAGAAGCTCATGAACCTTTCTTCGCAGCCTTCTCTGCTCAGCATTGAGATTTTCCAACAACTTCACTTTGTAATTATTAGCATCTTTCTCACTACTTCCTGCTAAATGGACACACTCTTCCCTTACCTGTAAAGATGCAGTATTAATACATATCTGAGTAGAAACAACAATATGAGCTATGAATTAACCAGACTAGATTAACCTACAAGCCCAAGGATTTGTACTTCATAATGATTGCAAGGAAAACGCAAACCTCCTTTTAAGTTTTGTCATGCAACCAGCAATTCACAAGTTAGTGCTTGCCCCCAGTCAGTTTTCATTTTTGGGCAACAAATTACTAGTATATTGTTCAATTACATTTGACAAATACATCCACACAACATTATAAATGATAAATAAATATTCAACAGAATCAATCTTTAGCTTATAAGATAAACATATATTTTCAAAACTGGTTCCCAAAATCAAAACAAATAACCAACGATTTCAAAAATTGATGAAAAAAAGGACAAAATACATAAAGTACCAATAAAGCACAAGGAAAACATTCCTACACATACGTGTGTTATATACATGTGTGTGTGTGTGTATATATATGTGTGTGTGTGTGTGTATAAAGAAGAGTGACCTTTGTTCACATTCATTTTAGCTGCTCATGTGCATGTAGGTGACATGACATATGAAACATCAGAACAAATTGAGGTTTTGCATGAACATTTTGAGAAGCAGACAGAGTCAAATGTAGAGTGATCACAAAGATAGAATGAAACTATTCTGTGCATCATCAGTAGATAATCAGGAAACGCCATGCCCTCAACCATACAGAGATTGGCAAATGGATTTTCCTAATCTCTCTCTAAATTGGAGAGAGGCAATAACGGATTTCCACCTTCACTTTTTTAAGATTTAACTAACTACTTCAGAGTATACACTCACAAACCAGCTAATGATAGACAGTCTCAATCTCACGATATCAGCACTTCAAATCCAGATGTACTTAAACGTGTGTGCATAGTTGACACACATGAACGTGCATGATAAAAGTGTGTGTTGATTGAAAAATTCACCTGAATTTCGACCTCAAGGGAAGTAATCTTTTCCATCAATTGAGAATACTTAATTGAGTATTTTACAGTCGGGTCCAAATCGTCGCAGCAGGTCAAAAGATTATAACGTAAACCCCCAATTTGTAACCAAGCACATCAGAGTCTTCGCACAATGTCTACAGGTACAAGGTAAATGTGAAGAAATAATAAAATTGAGAATTAAATCAAAAATTGGAAAACCTCCAAGCACTAGTAGTTGGTATATCTGCACTCACCAGTAGATGAGCGTACAGGATAAAGTTCACCAAGCAATTGCTCAATAAATGTATCGATCAAGGAAGTGAATATGGGGTGGTTTGATGACGCAAGAAGGGAAACCAGGGCCTTTATAGTTTCCTGCTGTGACATGAAAGTAAGCATCAAAACAGCGAAATAAACAATAGGAACAGAAAAATGCTATCCAAGTCACTTGTGATTCAAGAAACTGGATAACACATATACAGCAAGCAAATAGATCAAGTGTTTTTTTTTTTTTTTAATAATGATAAACACACGACCTCTAGTTCCCATTTAGAGTTGAGCAACTAAAACAAAAAATTATCACAAACTTCTCTTTTTTTCTGAAACCAAATATCACATTAAAATGAAAAACGGTAGGAAAGATATGTACCGTATTCTTTATTTCCTTGATAGACTGGAAAGCAGACTTGATTTTAATTTGGCATCCTCGAAAGATTTTTTGTGCGCATAAACAATCTACAAGTACAGGTAGAGAAAACAGAAAAATGAAAGATTAGAATTGCCAAATTCATGATTTGGCCATTAAAGATGCATATTACTTGTCAAAGAAGGGGAAAAAACCTGCTGGAAGAGAGATCGTGCAGCAGAAAGAAGTAAAGCGTATGCATGATTCTTATTTTCAGAACTTTACCAGAGACTACGGGAAGCAACTCTAAGCTTGAAGCTGTGGAGTGGATAATCTCTGATAGAGAATCTATTTTGCCTGAGATTTACAAATCAATAAAATTTTATATCTCCATAAATATACAAACAAGTAACACAGCACTATCTTCAATGTGGATGAGCATAACACTAAATGATGTGGCATCTCTTATTTGCTAACCAAGGTTTAAGATTATAATGATTTGGACATGGCTACACCTTGGGGGAAAGGGAAGGTTCAGGAATGGGCTTTGTGTAAAGACGAGCATAAATGATATAGAATTCTCGAGACACAGTTAGCTAGCAAGGTGTCCAAGTGCTGTCCACCTTGGCACTGCCTTCCACAACTGACTCTACCCTCCAACAGTGGTTTTTCCTCTTCATCAGCGTTTTACTCTTCAAAGTTTATCAAGATTTCTGCGTACTTCTAATATTATTTGGCTGATATACTTTGATGGATGCCGGTATTTACTGTTACCTAATTTAGCTTGAATTTAACTGGGAAAAGTTTAGAATTCCCCCTTTTAAGGTCTCAAGTTGGCTTGAATATGATAATTATACTGAAATTTTGTTGTCTTTGTGCAATTTGCTATTCATGATAAAGTAGCTAGCTTTTCCTTTGTTGGAAATAATTGATCACTTTTGATAGCTCCTGGCACACTTTTTGGAGTGGTGTTCATTGGACATGACAAAACATATGAGCTTGATCCAAAAGTTACAAGCACAAGAGACCAATTCGACCCAAAAGGTGGATACCATTTTCCAAGTAATAAATCTATACTGGTAAGTGAAACTTTTTCAGGTTTTACAAAAAATAAATAAATAAATAAAAGAAAAGAAAAGAAAGAAAGAGAAAAGAGAACAAAAATTCTGAAGGGCTTAACTGATGACTGTCATATTACCATACAAAACTAGAACATCAAGAAAAAAAATCACGAGAGAACTTGAATAATCAAAAGAGATAAATGTAAATAAAATATGAACCAGTGGAAAATCAAGTCAATTTGCTAGAATAAATCTTACAACATCTGGTCGATTGTTGCCATTTTCGAAGTCAAAGAAAACTTGTGAGGCAGCCCATCATGCCCAGAGAGGTTCTGCATGACCAGTAGATAAAAGTCAAAACAATAAGCCTAGCAAGCACAAACCAAAAATTTGTCTTGAGGTAAATCAACGTTATAGTCTGACCAATACCTCTGCTAGAAGCGGGCAGTGTTCCCACAGTGTTGTATGCCACCTAAACCACATATCAAGAATGGAACTGGATATTTTTTCATTCGCTGCAGTGTACAAGAATACACTAATTATAAAGATGCCAGTAAAAAATGATGTGACCAGATATATAGAGAAACACGAACCTGCATGACCTGATTCCCAAGCATCCAGGGTCCACAAAATATTTTGATGAGGTATAAGGTCAGTTGGAGGCCTTGATGAGAAGTTCAAAGTTGATTCAAGAAGACCAGACAGATTAGATAAAACCTGTTATATTAAGAAAATGTCACTGTCACAGACAGGTCTAAAATATACAAAAAGAATTTTCTAGGGAAATTTGTTGAAGAACATCTTGCTATATCAACCAGAAAATCAGTCAATAAGAAAAGAAGAAAAGATTTCAAGTAGCCCTTAATTAAGTTAAGGAAGAAAGTAATCTTTGTTAGATGCTGGAGGAGCCCCAAATCAAGGAAAAAACCTATCTCATCTGTTATATGTAGTGTTTCCAGCCAGCAGTCTACACCAGATCTTCTACATAAAATATCAGGAGAGAATACACGACAAACAGATGAAACTGTGTGTGTAGATGCTTGCTTAGCTGTTCCTGCAATGTCTTTCAATTTCTGCTTCTCAAAATCCAATCTTCTCCAAAGCATCTACAAGAATGATGTATGTAAATGTCAAAGAACTTCATTTTGATGTAAATAAGAACAGAAGATCATGAAGCATACCTGATACATTTCTTCCAACTGCTGTGGAATAGTGAAATTCCCATCATCTGCTTTGCCAATAATATATGATGACATGGAAACACCTTCAAAAAAGTAAACATCCGCTCAAATCAAATTGCACATCTAACAAGAAACTAATAAATAGTAGTGACAATGAGATCAATGCTGAATCCGAGTTGGAATGCAATAACAAACCAAATCCAAGTATCAAATAATCTACAGATGAAGACGACCTCTATATAAGTCATCAATCCTATATTTGATGAGATTATGATTTGAAGATATCAATTTTTTAGGAGATTGTGGCCATTGTTACAATCACTGGATTATGAAATTCTCAAGTCCAACAATACCCCCATTAAAGTTAACATATTACAGCACCTGCGAAGAAAGAACAATAATTCACAGGACAAGTCTAACTAGTCCACCCCATTAAAATTAACATATTTAGCACCTGAGAAGAGCGTACGAGAATTCACAGGACCAATACTGGAATAAAAGCAACAAGTCTTAGAAGAAAATGAAGATTCTACCTTGCACAGCAAGGAAGCGAAGTTCCGAATTGCAAGACAAAGCAGCATAAATTGACGTCTCATTTGGTTCACTTGCAGCTGTAGAAAACATGTGAGGTAATACAGAAAGAAATAACAAAATAAGAGAGGGAAAAAAAAAAAAAAAAAAGCCAGGATAACATCTTAATACAAACTGCTCTTCTGAATAGGGAAGATAAGTAAGTAAAAGCATACCAAGCTTCCAAAACTTCGTTTTTCTGGGCCATTCCAATTCACAAAGTTTTGAAAGTTGAATCTGTTTGTCGTACAACTCAGCTGACGAAGGCAGAGACGGATGTCCACCATGTGCAAAGAGCAAAGACTTTTGTGAATGAAAAGATAAGTATAAAATTCCTTGCAGGTTCTTCATTTCCTCCTATACAACACAAAGTCCAAAACATAACTCTAGCATATGTAACAGAGAGATGAAGAAGGGAACTGGACAAAGGGGAAGGCAAAAGAACGAAGATCATGTCAGTACCTGAAAAGTTTCTACTTCTCTTGGGCAAAATTCCCACAATTTCACAGCATCTTTCATCAAAGAGCGCCAAATAACTAGCAAACATTCTTCTACCTGAGATGAAATGATACAATTCCAAAAGAGTATATGATGCTCAAGAAGGTCATTGTATGATTGAAAAAGCACATCAAAAGTAGATGACTCGACAATCAATTCAAGCACTTTTTCTTCCACCCTTCGTAGCTAACTTAAAACGCGTTGAGTTCTGATACCATAGCTGTACTCAGTCTCATGACTCCACTGCTGAAAGCTAAGTCTCAGTAGGGGAATACACTTGATTGAGTTTATTAGAAGTCGACGGCAGGAACTTAACATATCAACAGATGCAGTTGCATCAACCAATTCCATGGAAAGTATGGGTAAAGACATGACATCTCTCTCAGTTGAACTTAAAGACATAAGCTTTCTACATGAATGAAGTATCTGATTCCAAATAGGATGTTCAATTTCCATTTTTAGTAAACCAGAAAACCAATTGAAAAATGAACCAAATGGCTCTAATTGAGAACCAAGCCACTCAAACCAGTAAAGATAATGGCAGTAATCGCTTTCAGTGGCCTGCTCAAATGCCCAATTAGCAGCAAAGGACAGCTTTTTCTTCGCTAATACCAAGTCATAGTCATTTTGCATGCCACAGTTTGCAAGCATATCATTTGAAGCCTTAGGAAACATAGTGGAACGTAGCAACCTAACTTCCATGAGGTAAATATTTGCAGCGCCTCTAACAAGTAGATTTTTTTCTCTTTGATGACCGCTCAAGCTACTTCCAAATGATTGACATGCAAACTGAGCTCCCAAGGACTCCAAAAGCAAACAATTTTGTTTCACACTAGCCTCTTTTGAGCAACACACAAAATCCCTCAATTCCAAGGGTATTGGCCATCCTCCAGGCAAACATAAAAAGCCATCTTGAGGAGAAGGAAATCTTCCAAGTTCCGACATTGATAGATAAGAAATAGTTGCTTGAGCAATAATATCTTTTCCTTCTCCCTCACCAAGGGATGAAAGATATGTATGCTCCCAACTAATTTGGAGGCTCCATGTGGGTTGATTTCCATTTGTGACAAGCCTCTTGAATAGCTGTACCCAGCGTGCAAGTTCCAGATATGTAATGCGTACATTAAGATGGACTCCTTCATGCTTAGCAAAAATGTGGGCTTTGGCCATCATATCAACCAACTTACCAACTGGGATTCCAGAGAGGGTAATAAATCTTTGCACATCCTTGAATTCAATCTCATCCAGATTTTCACTGCATTTCTCGTCAAGCAACCAATTTTGCATTACATATATTTCTACCCCTCTATTCCGCATTGCTCGGGAAACTTCACCATAGCTAGGATTAACTGTGAGGAACATCCTAAATTGAGAATGGGGATGGAGAACCACTGGCTCACCTCCACAGCCCCACACTCATTAATGGTGATTGATCCAGATTGCTCAACCAAGGAGTTAATCCTATCAAGAACCTGATAGCACAAAACAGAGACCAGCTTACACTTTGGAATAGAATACATTTTAATACTAAAAAGAGCTATAGTACCATAAATAATAAAATAATTATGGGACAACAAACAATAGAACATACGAACCGTTGGGTTGCAAAGGTTTGCATTCTCCAGAACAATCCATTCCCCATTCTCTATAGCCTTTATAAGTAATCCAGTTACCCATTCAAACTTCACAGAATATCTCCTTCTCCGGTAATCTTCCTCCAACTTTTTGATTGTATTAAGAGTACTCTCCAGATTCTTCTGAGACCACGAGACACACAGCCTATATCTCTCTTGATCCGACCTTAAAATTTCAATAATCTCAACTAAAATAGGGATGGACTCAAAGTATCTCATCCTTTGATTCTCAAAGTCTGTTGCCATAGACCCAGCGGAAGGACCATATTCAATAATTGATAAGAAGGCAAGCCACCGTGCAATCAAATCCTTTCTTCGAAAAAATACCTCAAGGGAAGATTCCAACTGCAAGCTGCAATACTCATTTATATAGCTTTCAACTCGAGCAATGGCAAGTCGAAAGCCACGGAAAGCATTGTGTTGCTCAAAGCATCCAAGCAGTTCAGATATATCAGTTGCAGAAGAAAGATTTAATTCATTCAGCACATTTCCTGTGACCTGAGCGAGTAATCTAATCAATGAAGTTTTACCTGAAGATGGTGCGCCAACTAATATGCATAACCAATTATGCTTTACACATTGTGTTACAGCTTCCAAGCTTTTACGTATGCTGGGCAAAATTTTAAGCTCATTATTAAATACTCCAGAAGGTTGATAGCGATTCCTCTCAATTGATACGTTTCTGATGGTTAAGTAACAAGGATTGAGCTGAACTCTTGGTTGTGGATTTATAAATGAGTTCAGTCCAAAAACCTGTTCATATAACTTCATGACTTCACTTCTATCAGATGGTATGCGCATTCTTTGCAGGTAAACAGTGCTTAAAAAGCAATCAAGTTTTGATTTTTCCAGAGCACCTGAAAAATATTTAGCGTGTGAGAGAATAAGTCATGTTGATATCATTATAATAAATAAAGTAATAATCAACCCTGGATGATTTGACATGAACGGATCACATCTCGCAGATTAAACTCCCATGGGGACCCATCTTGACCAAATTTGTGGTACAGCATCGTGTCTTCATGTAATCTTCTATTGAATAATACCAATTTCAAAAGAATGGCTTTTGGTATTGATGGATAAAGTGAACTACATATGGAAAGATAATCTTCCTCGACTAGCTCATCAACGAAAACCTGAATCCAGTTGGAAGGAAAAGATCGTTAAGCCATCGACATTCACCAGAAAACATTCACAACAGAATTAAAACTCGGACGCACTGCCTGTGTATCTAATGACTGACAAGTAATACCTTGGTGAACCGGTTGAGAAAGGACTTCGGAAGGCCTTTCCGGCCTCCTCCCTGATAAGAAGGATTCTGACAAGCAAAAACCCTAAAAGATGTTGGACACTTGAAAGAACGACACAATTCAGGAATGAAAACCTCAGCTCGATGGTCCAATATAGCATTCAAACCCTAATTTTCATAATTAAATTGTCAAAATCTATGCATAAAAAAACTAGTATTTAATAATAAGCAAAACATATTTTCTACATGAAAGATAAATAGCAAGTACTGACAAGTGACAAATACAAAGTGATACCTCCAACACAGATTGTGGAGCAAGATTAAGTTCATCCAGCAGAACCCATGAACCCTTCTTTAGGGCCTGATTGCAAAACATACAGAAAATCATTATATTTCATAATCAAATCATACTTCAAGAGAAATAACAATTTTCCAACCTGAAGTAGGATTCCGTCAGACCAAGCAAACTGTATTCCTTCATCACTCTCAACTGGCAAATCTGATCCCAATAAGTCCATTATGTCGGTCTGCACCAAATCGGCCAACTAAGATCTTGCAATGCCAATATTCATATAAGGGCGGCTACAATATCAGGAAATCAGTGTGGGAAATGAAATAAATGAAGGAATACTAACTAAGAAGAGGTCACTCAGTAACCTGTTCTGATAGGTTGATTCGAACAATGGTGTGCCCAGAATATTTAATAAACTTGTTTTCCCAACACCTGGACTTCCTTCCAACAGAACTGGAAGCATGAAAATTCTAAATGTCAGAAAACTCATCATAGAATTTTCTTTCTTATTTAATAAATACCACATGCACGCAAATGAATACGCAGACAACAAATCCACGCACATAAATATATCATTGTTAATCAAGTATAATTAGCTTGCAAAAAAGAATACCAGGCTTTGAAAGCTGCATAGCACGCAGCACCCGCGACGCATTTCTACAAGTGGTTGGTGCAAGGAATTCAAATCCTTTAGCATCAATAGTCTCAGCACCTGCACAAGATTAAACAAGATCTTTGCAATCAAGCATATACTCCATAACGTACTGGTGCAGACAATGCTTATTGGAAAGCACACAATGAGGGACCAAGATCAACCAACAGGCAGTAAATGATATAACGTACTAGTTAACTCTCAAGACGAAACTCATGCAAACAAAATAATCTAACATTCTGAAAGCTTTTGCCCTGACCTTGTGTAATAAATTCAGGTCAAAATAAAGCATTGTCCACTTTTTGTAACTACTAAAATTCATGTAAATTACTTTAAGATGTTTCAGTTAAAAAGTCTCTTTAATGTACCGTAAACTGCTTGAGTCAAAAAAAGCAAACGAACAAGGGCATGATGTAATTTTATTCATCATCAAAATACAACAGAACATAGAAAGAAGCAAAGGAACGAGGACATGATGTATTTCAATTTATCATCAATATAAAACTAAAATATAGAAAGTTTCCCTCTACCTAAAACTACTAAATGATATTTTTTGAAAGAACATACAACTTCAATTGAGAAACTAACTCCCAAAACCGGCATCCTAAAAACAGAAGCCATATATTATAGCAACAATAGTGAATGGACTGAGGAAAATTTTTTACTAGGCACGTCCTGAAATTTTTGTATCAAAGAATAAAGTCTCAAAAAAAAATTTAAAACTTCTGTTTGACCAAAAAAACCAAGATCAGGATTATGTTGTATATTCAACTACCCTGCTCCTCCAGAAATAGATAAGGCACATCAGAGATATTTGAATAAAACCACACATACGAGTAACCAATCTCATAAAATATCCCCTATCACTTATAGAGCATTTTCTTCCAACAACAATTATTTAGGTGATGAGTAAAGAATAGTGCTGAACACCACCAATAACAACACTACATATCTTCTAAGTTTAAAAAAGGTTCTGCAAGTAATACGCGAATAATGTGGCAAATTAAGTTCAGTGGTTTGCTGCCGGGTTGGATTAGCCAATAAGTCGAATGCATTCGGTCTAACACATAACGACGCATGAAGTTGGAAATATGCTTCAAAAGTCAGGATACAGTATGAAAACAAATTGAATTCCTCAAAAGTCAGATGACTTGGGCAATCTAAATCCATATTTTTTCACATTATCAACTGTTTTAACAATTTTAAAACAGAAAAGGGATCTTTTCAATGTAGAATAAGCAACAATGCTACAAAAGATACGAGCAGATAACTTTTTATACAATATGAAGCTGTAAGCTAGCAAGATAGAAGCACGATTACGAAAGATAAAACTGTACAAATCCTATTTCACTAAGAAAGGATTAAAAGGCTCTGTTTGAGCCCCATATTTTGGAAAATAGATTTTGTAATAGTGAATGTTTTGGAGAATGTGTTGTTAAAAAGTAGGAAAAAGTTTTAGGTTTAAGTATAAAATTATTTTATTGGAAGTGTGTGTTGAAAATGACTTTTTAGAGAATGAGGCTCAAACAGGGCTAAATCTACTCCACCAAAAAGAGGAAGAATATGTGGATAATCTTTTGATTCCATCTAGCGAGAACTGCATTGAAGATTTATGTAGCATGAAGACAGTAATATACACCTCTTTCAATATAGAAAGGATGAATTCCAAAGTGGTCGTCAAGCTGCATGCTGTCAGCAGATATTGAGACTGTTGAACTTCCAAGACTAGCCCAACCATAAGATTCTAAAGTGGAAAATTCGGAGAAATCGAGTGTATATTTGTACTCCTGTAGTAATGAAACAAAAGCACCAATATATTCTTTATAAATATGCTTGTTTTCAAAGCCAAACTGAACATGCATGTTAGGCATCCAACTGAACAAGAAAGAGAAATTTGTGCTGCGTCAAAAGATTGACTAATAAAAGAATGATAAATATATGCGTGCAGCCAAAGATCATTGTAGCAACTTTCGGTTGGGTTCTATGCATGAAATGTGAAGGTAAGGTTACGTTTAAAAGCTCGTATACTCTCCACTGACAGAGGACAATATTTACTCCTAAAAAATTTCTCTATCACTGATATTCACAAGGAAGATTTACTAATGATATTTTATTTCTTTTCAGAAGAGATATTCAGCAATCAAATTTTTTGCTGCCTACTTGAATAAGCTCTAACAAAAGGTACAACTCAAGAATAGTATCATATGGCACAGGTAAGATGTTTTTTATTTGCCAACATATTCAATTTCCTCTTCTTTTCTGAAGAGTCAAACATTAGGGAAATATCATATAGCTTTTATGTCATTTAAATTATATTTATGTTTGCCTGTGTATCTAATTTCTTCTTTTTAGGGAACAAAATTCAGACTGATATATACAAACCACCACCTTGAGTTTTTCCAGAAGAAAAGTAAGGCATTTCATCCTTAACTCTGTTGCGCCACTTTTTGGAATATTTGTATGTAGCACATAAGTAGAAAGGTCAACAAAGAAAATTTAGAGGCAAGGTCAGTATATAATGAACAAATGACCGTAAATAAATAAAAACAATTTAGAAATGATATCTAAAAATTAACTCAGGCAGACCTATGCAGTCCTATCTAAGCAACAGAGAGTGATTAATTATCTTTAGGCAGGTTAGGTACTGCAAATCTGACATTTTGATTTGAGTTGAAAACTCAAACTCCTAGCCCTTTTTGCATTCTCTCTCCCCATTGAACCTCAATCAGAATCTCTTTCATTATCAGTTGACACAGTCCCTTGAAAAATAACAATATCCTATTCTTCACTACAGTCCCTCTCCATAACTCTTTAAAGCTTCTGAGGTAACTCTACTCCCTCATCAAAAGAACAAGGTGTGTATCAGATTTAATTTCTGGCCCCTCAATATGTAGATGAACTCTATTTTCAAATATAGAGAAGGAACACTTGCAAAATCTGGGCTATATAAGCAATCTCGATCTCGGAAACATGTTAAGACTGACTGACATAAAAATTAGTGTTATACAACCTATTTCATTAGAAGTCACAAAAAGTCTGCTCAAGTCAATCACAAGAAGACAATGAAACTTGTACGCGCTATATTGACCAGTGTGTCTCTTTTTGACGTACCCAAAGAAAATTTCAAATGAGAAAACAAGTTTTATCATCACTAAAGCAACAGAGATGATAATCGGCTTTTTGTGAGAACGTAACTATAAATTAGAGATGATAATCGGCTTTTTGTGAGAACGTAACTATAAATTAAGTAATTTCATCTGAAGAAGTAATAAAATGTTGTTAACAAATAGCTTGCAAGAAAGCTCAAAAAATTCTTTTACCATTAAGAACAACATTAACAAATACGTAAAAACACAATATGCAGCCAAAACCACGGAGATATACCTAAACTAAGTCCATCTAGTAAAACAAGGAATGCCCAATGTAGAAATTCAGGTTCAGCTTGTAAACTTCCCTCCGTTGCATTGATAAATGATACCCAAGACAAGAGGTCTCGCACTGTAAGCATTCTTCCTGTTTGTAAATGTTTGAACCACTGCATGGCAAAAAAAGAATATACGATAATTGTTTAACAAAGTACAAAAGGTATGAAGAGAAATTATTTTTTATTTTTATTTTTATTTTTTTTATGACCATAGGTGTCTGGCCAGCTCAAGCGCACCTCGACTAATTCCACAGGACCCTGAAGTTTACAGTCGAGAACTCACCTCAATGGCCCTGAGAGGACTCAAATTAGTAACCATTGGGGGACAAACCCAAGGTCTGACCATACTCAACTACCTCTCAAGATTAGAGAAATATGACACTAGTTATCATTCATAATACAAAACTATACCTAAATACAATTGGAACTCAAGAAGGCCATTAGGCCATCATATCACCATGAATTTAGAAAAAGGATTTCGGAAAAACAAACAAATACCAAGGGATCAAATTCTGCATTGAATGTTTTTAGTATAGAAAACCCTGATCAACCATTTCTACTGGACATACTTTTCCAAATAGGAAAGTTCTGAAGTCGCTTCCAACAAAAAAGGAACCTAACTTCATGGCATATAGTTTGGATAATTAGCAAATAAACCTAATGGACTTGCATTCACCATGAAACAATCCTATGAGTTTACAAGCATATTGTTGAACAAATTATAACGGATAAAACAAATGTCATCTATGAACAACTGGATGAGAATGTACCTCCCAGAAATTAAGCATGGGATCCACAACACCAGCAATTTGTGGGTTTAAAATCCTGTGGAGAATATTGAGGAAAAAAATCATTAAGAAATAACATATATGCATGTAAATTACACATGTATCGCGAACTTGCTTCCAAAAGAAAGTTTACTAAATTTACCTCTCCAGAGCAATACTTTTGAGGTCATCTGTGTCACTAACTGAAGGAACCCATATCTCTGTAAACCTATTCCGAAGAGCAGGTGATAGTTCCTTCTTCCCATAATCTCCACCAGGATTCATTGTAGCGAGGAGGAAAAAGTTTGGATGAGCAATTATACTCTCAAGATCAGACCCACCTTTGTCAGCCAAAGACTGCAGATATTGAGAAAAAAAATATCAGATAATGCTAGAATATAGGGAGCAGAAAACAGTTTATAGAAGTTATTGAAGATTAACCTGAACGTCATAAAACTAGTTCAAGGAATCAAGGAAACCAGACTGTTTTGAGTTATTTCTTTAAAACTGAAAGATACAACATAAATATTGATCCTTATCCTGAACTTGGAGAAGCAGGTTAAACAAAGATTGGAAGGTGATATTTTAGGTTAGAGCAAGCTATCACAAAAATGAAGCAATCATGAAGCAATTTTATTTCCACACATGAATAGGAAGAAAAAATAAATTGTAATATAGGCTATCAAAATTATAAAGAGGAGGCAGAACATGACAAAAGTAGAACAGAAGCCAGGAAGACAGATTATGCAAATGTTCAAACAGGAAAGCCCAAAAGAACTTCAACGAGTAACTACATTAACATTTAAGGGACTCATCAGTTTCAAGTACACTTTTCTAGCTCACAAAAGACACCAAAAACGCATTATTCACATATACTTAAGAAAAGGCAAACCATTCTACACTGTTATGTATATAGTCTTTGATTATTTCGAAGCACAGGCATGATCGCTCCAGTTGAAGGATAACATTTTGTGATAATTCAAGGTCAAAACACTAATTTAGTGGAAATCTTGGGCAAAAAGAACTGTTAACCCATGTGTATGTGCGAGGGAGTTTATATAGATGCATTTTAGTATATATGTTGTGCACAAGTGTATGTGCACTTTAATGGATAAAGCTCGTTTTCAGTTGAATGTAATCATCAAAAGTTCCATACTAGGGCATGAATATAGGTTTATTATTAATGCCAAGTTAAAAAGAACTCGATCAGATGTCGAAATTACTAATTACTCACAAAAGATCTTATGCAAAAAATTCATATATAGAATTACTGACCAACTTCCAAGGTGTAATAACAGCTTAAGTCCAAATTAAATTCAAATCATAATCGGGAGAATCCAACAGTGTGTGCAAAAGCTATATGTTATCCAGTGTTTTCAAATAAATAAACCAAACATTAAAACCGTTAACAATGAACAAGTTTCATAGCTATTTTTGTCTTATTGGGTGACCAACAGTCTGGCTTCAAGTGACAATCTTGTTCAACTTCTGGTATACATTGCAGTAAAGAACTATCAGTGGACATCTATTAAAGATACCTAATCAAAATTATCAAATTAACCAATCCTAAGAGGTAGCTCAGTGTTCAGGCTTGGGTTTGTTTCCCAATGGTCATCAGTTCGAATCTTTTCAAGACCACTGAGGTGGGTACCCGACTGTAAACTTTAGGGCCCCGTGGGATTAGTCGAGGTGCGCCTGAGCTGGCTGGACACCCATGGTCATCAAAAAAATTTTTTATCAAATTAACCAGGGGCTACAACTGAACACACAGAAATAGCCTCCGAAATGCAATTGTGTTCAAGTTTGGGTGACCAACTTAGCGAACAAGTGCCTAGGTGCTGCTGCTTAGAGCCCTCTTCAACCCCACACAGTCATATGTTATGTTACGTTTATGAACTGTGCAAGACAAAACAATAAACAAAAAAGAGGTTTAACCAAAGCCCAACCGTGGTAGTCATATAAGAAGAAGCAAAAAAAATCCAAGAGACCGTTACAAGAGAGGCCAATAAAATCACTGGAGAGAAATAAAAGAAATTCTATTTGAGATGAGATAAATTATAATTCACACGCATTATCAACCAACTTTCTATTTTTTATGAATTAAGTGATTGGCATCCCAACGGAATACTATTTTACAGAACCCAGAAAAATCATGAAGTCCTATTAAGAATACATAAAAATGAAGAGGATGGACTTATAACACAGACTCACCAGTTTCCTTTCTGGTTCCAAAACACTGTTTAATCTCTCAAGTACGCTGTCATCAGCTAAAGAAATCTCATCCACAATAAACAGGTCACCGTTCTTCATCGCTTCAACAAGAGGACCATCTTGCCACATGAAAATGGTCTGCCACTTCTGACGAAGTTGAGCTAACTCCATAGTTATTTGTTCAACATAATCAAGGTCTAGTGCAGAGACATCAGAATGCGAGACTGGACCTTGTCTGTAACTATTGATGATTACAGAAATTTTATTAAGAGTAAGAGAGACCTGATTAATATCCGTCAAAATTGTCTGTAGATAAACAAATCCAGAGAGGAACATTATCAATAGAGTGAAAAATAATACTAAAAATCTATAGTTGAGAAAAACATACAGCATCTCCAGGGAAGTGCGTAAAAGTCTTCGACTGCATCAACTTCTCACACAGATTTTGGAAGTCTGAAGTAATTCTTGATCTCTCACGCACCGGATAGAAACCCTATCCATTGAAAGCAGCAAAAAATCATCATATGTTCCATAAGGAATCTTTGTCACAGGGACTTGGCGAAGTCAACAAGCAGTGAAAGAGGCGGCAACATAAAATCACCAGAAAAGCAAAGACAGCGAAGGAAAAGAAGCACAAACCCCAAGAAAGTCCGAACTTTCTGTGTACTGATGGCAATTCCAAATGTGTAATTTGGAACTCAAAATAATACTAAACAACTGAGCAACAGTCGTTTTCTCTCCTCCAGTTTCACCAACAAGGAGAACAGGTTCCCGCATCCTATAACAACGCTCGATTAGAAAGTACATCCTCCACATACTTCTTGTCCAAATAATTCTGAAATGCAAACAAAAATATGGTGAGAAATCGATATCCATTGGCAAAGGAACCTGGAACATACACAAGTACCGAAAAAGATACATACTTCTCAATATCTTTAGATTCTCCCGAATATTTTCCACCAGTCAAAGCTATGTCTCCACCATCAGGCTCCTGTATTACAAATAACGTTTTAGCACATTATTTTAATTTTTTTACAGCATGTATTTAATTAAAGAAAATGCTAACTTTAAGTATCCTTCAATACAGAAGCGACTTGCCTAGGTATAAAGAACAGTGGAAATTTAGCTGTGGTTTTTAGAAAAGTTTCGTCTCAACAGCTTATTTATGTTGACTAAAAGCATTCTCTATAATATAAGTTAGATTTCACGAGAAAGCAAAGTTTCTGTTCTTTCAATATTAACATCTCATTGTCTCATAGATTAAAGGTTTTGTTACAATTCTGCATTGAGACGATATACTCAAAGTTTTCTATAAAACTGCGTCATCAGCATAAAATATGCTCATAGATGTAGTTAAATCAAATCATAACAAATATTTTATTACTTTTTTTAACAGAAGGAGCTTACAATGAATTCTGATGAACAATACCCTTTGTATAAAACCCAATCAACAACCGTCACTGGATAAATTATAAAATGAATTGTTATCTAAGAAGCTAATCGTAACTCATGAAATACATAAATATTGGATTTATAGAACAATAGTTCCATTTAGTTGCACCACATACCCTGTAGAGCACTATTCAGATTGAAGAAGCTGCACATAATAAAACTAGAAAAATTATACACCAGAGATAACATGCTCATATACCCTTTTTACATATTTATCTATATCACAATTATTTGCCACCATATTCGTCAACCCTCTTAGTAGTATTTATGACATTAACAAGTCCATGCACACAAGTTTCTAGCAATAACATGCACGACAAAATACAACATGAAATGTCTAGTAATTAAACTTTAGAGCATATGCACAACATGTGCAACATGAAATGTCAAGTTTGAAACCTAGCCATTCATTACCAGAGAGAGAGAGAGAGAGATGATGATTGTGCATTTTGGACCGAAGCAAAAAGAACCTAACTTGCATGTATAAGTCATCCACAGTAAGCTTGATTCGCAGTTGCCTCTCCAGAACATCTTGAACAATTTTTTTTTCACCATCATCTCGCAGCCTCTCCGCCATTAGGTAATAACCATCGCGTGCTAGATCTTCATAGGATCTTCCGAATGTCTTGAAACGATCAGCCCATCGGAACAAGTCACGGGGCGTAATGAACCCGTGTTTTCCAGCAAAAACTTTACTACTCTGCCTGTGAAATTGCAAATCCTTCATGACATCAACCATTTTTTTGGCATAGCTTTTGGGAATTTTGCACCTTTTCTCCAATATCGTGCTCAACTCCTCTTGTGGAATTTCATCAACATGAATCTCTACAAAACGGTTGCGGAATGCTCGCGAAAGCATTTTGCGCCCTCCATAGATGGTGGGTGGATTTTGAGTCGCAAACAGCATAAAATCTGGATGCGCACGAATAACTTCACGCAATTCAGGAACAAAAAGTTCCATGTTGTCATCTAGCAACCTGTTCAATGCTTCAAGCACATCAGAAGAAGCCAAGTTAAGCTCATCTAAAACAATCCAATAACCATTTCGAACAGCCTTAACAAGGGCACCCTCATGGAAAATGAGCTTTCCACTTGCATCGGTAATATAAGAACCTAGGTACTCTTGTAGATCAGTATGGTCATGATTATTTATTCGTACAAATTGATGACCAGTTATCGTAGCAAGATACTTAACAAGGCTAGTCTTTCCACTAGACGTGGGTCCCCGTAGAAGGACTGGATATCTTCCAATAAAAATGGCACAAGCCACATTTTCCAGATGCTTCTCAACACTACTTGTTAAAACATATTCTTCATCAGATCCTTTAACTTTCAAGTACGATTTATATGAGACTTCTTGAGGTATATTCCGTCCAAACAAAATAGAAGATATTAAACTGTGCATCAACTTAGCACTAGGTTTGTCCAATAAAGTCAGAAAAAACATACAGAAACCGTCATAAAGGGATTTCTCAACCCCAAAACACCTTTGTGCCCTTTTAGTGTATTCCAGTGCACGATAGAGAGACCTTAAACTGTACTGCAGCGTTTCATCAGATTCCTTTTTTGCTGCTTTATAGAAATGCACAATCTTACTAACCAACTCTCTATCTGAATGGTCATCAGCCATAAATTGATTAACAAACAAAATTAATTCTTCATCATCCAACACATCGTCAACAAAGTATTCTGTGAATCTGCTCCTTAAGGAAAATGGCAAGTCTCTTTTACCAGCATCAGTTGCAGGATTCATGCAAGCAAATATACAGAAGTTGGGATGCCTACACACATAATCAACATCACCCCTCTCAGCCAAACACAGTGATCCTTTCTCTTCTTCAAGGACCCCAATAACTCGCTGCAAAATCTCTGGAGGAGCCAAAATTACTTCATCCAGCAATATCCATTCACCATTCTTAAGGGCAGAAATGAAGGCTCCTTCTACAAATGAAAATAGCATTCCAGCCAATGCATTGACTTGTGTACGAGCTCTTTCAAGCTTCACTGAAAAATTCTCCCAAGCTTTTAAAAGTTCTTCATTCAAGGGTCTCTTCCGCTTCTTACCAGACTGGAATTTCCTGTTTCAACTATCTTCCGGACACCCTTCTGGAAGCCACTTAATAGCATTTTCCATTTCTTTTCAGTCATAAATCTCCTTAAATAAGTGAGAAAGACTTCATTATCCTATATAAAAGAAAGAATTACGTAAATCCATGTGCAAGCAGACGGCGTTGAAGAGCCGTGAATAATAATGTACTTTGGTGAACTATATCTTGGAGGAAAACGTGATAGTAAAAAGGTTCTCAAACTCCTTATACAGAGGAACACATACAAACCGGGCATCCATAGGTTTGAACCCTCCTAGCAAATCTGCAACATCACTTTGCTGACTCAAGTTCTGGAGCATAAACAAAATTAATGTGAAAGGGTGTCTACAGCAATTTGTAGTCAAATACAGATTCATCTGACTTTTAGAAGTTACACTTCGGACATACCAAAACTGTAAGTGTCTGACCAAGCCTCGTGGCAAGACTCTGTACAAGTGTCGTCTTTCCAGTACCAGTCTCACCAACCAAGAGAACCGGCTGATTATACTTAACAGAGCCAGCTATTTTCTCAAGAAACATGTACAGAACTACGGATCTCAACAAAGGGTTTCTTCTGAGAACGCAACTGTAAAAAGCAGATAGAAACATTTAACAAAAAGCATAAATGTCTCGGAAAAAGGAAGGGAAGAAATAGAGAAAATCCAACGCACATTAGCTGCAATTGCAGTGCTTTGAAGGGTAACACGTCCAATTCGGAAATCAGAGAGCAATTCCTGGAGAATTTTAATGTGTGATAAATTATTTCTGCCGCGGAGTAAAATAAATATCATCATTGAAATAGCAGAACCTGAATAATGGGTCAGTTAGCCGGATATAATGTTTCTGCCATTGAAACTGACCACAACTTTGCAATCTCCTTCATTATAGCTAAGCGATTTTCAGCGGAGGTTGAGAAGGATGCAAAAATATCTATACCCTGAAAACAGAATCACCAAACTTATCAAGCTAAGCGATTTTCGGCGGAGGTTGAGAAGGATGCAAAAATATCTATACCCTGAAAACAGAATCACCAAACTTATCAAACTTATAATCAAGCTGATCTCATCAAGCTAAGTTCGTTCAGAAAAGAAATTCTAACAAATGCAACCACTTTTATCAGACCTCTTTATAGATATTGTCACGTGCATAAGTTGAAAGCTCATCCCAATGAAAGGAAAAGCCCAAGCCCGAAATTCTCTTGCACCGTTTGAGAAGATCTCTGCCATTGCCAACAAATGTGGCTTAATGAGATTATTTAAACACAACTTCAGAATATAGACACAAATTATACATACCTTAATGAGAATCTTCCATGACGATTTGAAGAAGCGACTATTCCAAATTGAGCTGTAGTAAGCTGGTTGACTCTTTCAAATGTTTCTGCAATAGAGGACAAAAAACATAGAATGCTTAAGTAGATCATGCCCCGAAAAACATGTAATACCAAAAAATAAAAAGATAAAATGCTTATGCATCTAGGATGGTTGCTCTGAATACTATGAAAGTTAAACGTACCTACGAGTTTTTCTGCAAGAGGCTCCAACTCTTGATACCAGGCAATTAGAATATTTAGCAAGTCCACAGTGCCATACACGAATGATTGACAACGAATCTGCTTTGCTGATCAAATCCCATTAAAAATTATAAAAAACAAAACAGACATTGATCCCATGATAAATTAGTAACCAGTAGTGTAAAGTCGTAAAGCAATGTAAGCAGATAAGAGGGTTTAATTAAAATGCAACTAGGAAAAAGGTCAAATTTCAAAGTGCAAGCATCATAATACTTCTTGAACAGTTTGTACAGTGATAAAATTGCTGATAGACCCCCAAGTTATTCAAGTTGTTATGTCATATTCTAGAGTGTTCCAATTTCAATTAGTTATCAGGGGTAGCTTGGGGAATAAACGGGGGTATAAATGTAATAGGAGAGGGAGCAGAATGATTGTAAAGTCCCAAATTTGTAATAGACTAAAATTAATTATTTTATGTGCTATATATTTTATATTTTTGGAGATGTTGGGGACTAAAATGATATATACATTAAATCCAATTTTATTCGGGTCAATTATTTAGATTTCGATAGAGCCAAGATGAGTATATGAATATTAGGCTCGTTGGATAGATCGTAATTAATCACGAATATTAGGCTCGAGAAAAAGCTAAGTTTGTTATTTTCCTGTACTTGTTTCAATTACAGCAATACAAATCAACCTTATAATTGTTCTATTGTTTTGTTTTTTGCATCCTTTTGTTCATCTAATTGCTGGGATTTCAGTCACTGCAAGTAGGGTCCTATCAATTGCATAATAACATTCTAACAGAAAGTTGTTAACAGTTTATGAACAAAGACAATAATAACAGCATCACCATCAAAAAAGATAAAAAAAAATTGCATGATAGACCTTCAGTAAAATGAGATGTGTCTAATTTTGAGCTTGTCACAGTGGCAAATAGCCGAAAGCTTTCGTTCACTCTTACTCCCTGCATAACATCAACACTCTAGACATCAAAACATCTCGAAATTTACATTGAATGGAAAAAAGAAAAAATATGCACAGTAGCAGTTGGTTTCCATTAAATGAAACACATGGTGCACAGTAAAGTGGCCACGTGAACACAGAAGTGGGTGCACGTGCACGTGCACGTTAGTGAGAGCTTTTGTGTGTGTAGAAAGAGGGAGAAAAACGAGGGGACTTTCATTGCACAAAATAACAATCAAATTAGTAGAATAAGCATGCAAGAGAAATAAAAGATTCAAGAAATGCATGTGTTCAAAGGCTGTGTGTCGACAGAAACCTGTTTTATGCGCACTTAGTAATAACAAGAAGTAACAAAAACAAGTGTATCTTCTTTTGACATTTTTAGCTGCATTTAGTAATATAATATCTTACCAATCAAGCTGAAAAAAATTAGGAATACTTCAAGTGCAGCTGTATCCATATTCTTAAATATCTTATGAATCTACATTTTAATCCTGAAATATCTAAATTCATCCTAGGTCGGATCCCCATTTTAGTTACATTGCTTAGTTGCTTAGAATATAATTCAAATCAGGGACCCAAAAACACAAATCTGTTGAAATATAAGAAAAGCGGTCTGAAAGCCAAATAACAGTTAACAAGCAATCTCATTTTCCATTCGTGAACTTTTTAAAGATTTTATATTGCTACCCTTACGAAATATAAGACCTTGTCAAAAACACACTTGGAGGATATCATAATTATGTTTCAATTGACAATAACAGATGAACTGATACAGAAAGATTGGCTTCATGAGTTCTAAAAAGCTTTTTCATAACAAAAAAAATGACAAGTTATGTGGAGAAAGACTTCAAAATGCTGAATTATGCAAGACAACAATATAGAGTCCCCTTGGAATTAAACGTGAAGAAGGAAAAGTCATACCTCCCCATGGCTAGTTAAGAATGTAGTTGCACCCTCTAACAAAGGCAATAAGATAGATTGAATGTCAGGAGGCGCTTTGTCAACATCCTCAAAGACAACCCAAAAACCATCTGAAACTGCCTGTTAATCGTGATTTTAACAGGTTATAACATGGTAGCGCAAAGTCAATATTATTATTTTATCTAAATTGGGAACTAACCCGAGTAAGAGAACCAGGTTGCCATCTGAATTCGCCAGGTTGTTCTGTAGAAACATAACTCCCAACTAACGTTTTCCCATCAATTTGCTCATCCATGTGAATATATAGAACTTTTTGGATTGGTGTCAAGGGGAGGAGTAGAAATCAGAAAAATTCCACACAAAAACAGAAAAACAGGACCACAACTCTTTAAAGCATGAAGGGCATGTCTATCCTAAACAATCAGGGATGCTAAAAGAAATTCAACAAAATACAGAAATATCACCAGGTAGACTATTATATACATGCATGGTCACGTGTTTAACAATCACAGTTATTATTTGGAAGTCGCGTGGCAAGAGTCCGACCAATACCCAGGTATATATCTAGAAAACCATGTGTATATATCCTCGTTCCCAAAGAATACAAGGGGAAGTACAAAAAGACATGTACACATCTAGATCATTGACTAGTTTTGAGTATATAGCATGTGTTGCTTCAATTTATTCTTGTCACCTGTTAAAGATTAAACCGTCATTGCTTTCACAAACACAGAGTGAAAAATTACACAACAAGGAGTCTCTGATCACCAATGTTGCAAGATCACGTCGTGAAGATACAGTTTGAGTATTACAAACAAATAAAACAGTAATCTGATTTGCACTAGATTAGTATTTTTATGCCACCATCTTGACTTGGACAAATTTCACTCATCCTTAAGGAAATCAGCGTAACGTAGAGTAGCCCTAGTAGCTGCAATCTAATGCTGCCATGTGGAAACCAAACAAACCTGGAAATTTCTGTATAGTATCCTCTAAAGGTTAGTTTCTATGGTGAAAGAGAGCCAATATCTAGACCCTTCTATTTTTGATGAGGAAATAACTAAATTTTATCAACAGCAACTAAAGAATTGCACAGCTGGAAACACATATTGCAATGGTCAAACATGCAACAAGAAACATCAGCAAACTAAGCTTTATCCACAATATATAGAGTTTGGATGCATGAAAACAAACAAAAGACGTACTCCCTTGGTCCTTGCATCGCAGAAGGAAAGGCAATGGAACAGTACCAACAGTGTTCTATGCATGATGCGCCAAACAAAAATATGTAGAGCACAGAGCGTGGAATAAATACCAATTCTTAAAGAAAAGCACGAGTAATTTGGAAAAACAAAAAACGGCAGCTTGAACGTACCTCTTCTACCGAGATCCCCGGCCAACTTGCAAATAAGTGCCGTTTTCCCGGCACCAGCAGGACCATAAAGAAGAACTGGCCATCTCTGACTCACAGCTATCGTGACCATCTCAAAACTTTTCTTCACAGCAGATGTCAAGATAAAGGGATTTCCAGAATTACTGAATAAATGAGGGAATCAGATTATAACAATGTATAATAAAAAAGGGGTGAGTGTGATAAAAGCAACTTCAGCATACAAAAAGCTGAAAATGGAAGTAGAGGAAAAAGCTCAACAAACCACGAATTCCAAACTGGAAAAGGACACCATTTCAGGAACTAACTCTCACAAATTTGATGAGAGATCATCAACATTTCTATAGTAACATAGCCCCTGTTCGGGCTCCATTTTTGTGGAAATGCATTTTTCTCTTTCTTATTTTCAACCACAGGTTCTCCAATAAAATATTACACATAAATCCAGATTTTTCCTTAATTTTTAACCACGCATTCTCCAAAAAATACTATACTAAAATACATTTTCCTCAAACCTATTTTTAATGGAGCCCAAACAGGGGCATAACAACGCAATCACCTTTTGCTACATTTCATATTTATAAAAATTACCATGTCTCCAGCATTCTGCTACAATTTGATGGCATAGTCTCATGAAGCATTCTGTAGGATGCAGAGATGGAACTAAGGCTGCAAGGCTCTAAATAATGACTGTCATTGATATTAGTGCATTTTCCAAAAGAAGCCATCTTTTCTTCTACAGAAGATTCAAGATACCATCCTGCTTTCTCCAATGATACGTCCATACAAAATTCTTGCCAGCTGCAAATTTTAAAATGCAAGAAATGTCGGGAGGAGAAGAGAGTGAGCATAGACAAATTTAGAGAAGCAGAATGAAGTTAATTGTGTCTTAGTTTGAGACATCCTATACTTGTTATTGCATGCTAACTACAGAATCAGCAACTTTTATTCTCAAGACATGAACTGAACTATTTCCATTTCTTCTTTCATGCTTCCTCTCCTTCAGACCTTTGTATGGTTACTTTCATTCTAAAGAGAATGGAATTGATAATATAAGTAATGCAAACTTTCAATAAGGTAAAGAAAACATACCGCAACCAACTCTGAAAAGCTACTCCCGAGTTGAGATTAAACTTCGTAGACGCTTTAAAACTCAACTTCAAAACCACCAAGAGTATTTGTATACCTCACCATCTTATATCAGAGACATTCATCCTCAACTCTGTGTCCTTGCTTGGGTCAAGGTTTGCAGATTGCCATACGAGGTCCAGAAAACAAGACCAGTCCCACAATCTGGTGAAAATCTCAGGCTCTAATGCAAGGAAGCGATACGATGCTCGTACAACATTCAATATTTTAGTTGATCCCTAGAAGACAGTGAGCTCATGTAATTATCAAAATGCGCGACAGAATCATGAATTGGCAACATGAAAAATAAATAGCTGGAACCACGAGGACATCATGCTTGCTGGTGTAACATATAAGTTTGCAAGAACTGCTAATGTTTGGTGACAAGCATTAGACTTCTGCAAAACTGAATATATAATATGTCTTGGTCCATCGCATCATACTGAAAAGATGGTAAATTCTTTCTTGCTAAGTTGAACAGCCTATTACATACAGGTGATCAAATACTTTGTATATTTATTTGATTTCTTTTTTTAGTTTAACGAACTTAAATGTTTTACTACATGTTTGTGCATGTACAATCTTTTCTATATCAAATGTATAAGTTTCATTACTTTAACATTTAAAAGCGCTATTTACTTGATGTCAATGACCTACTTGAACACAAATCGGCACTGCAGATTTCCTACTTTAGCTTTACCTCCACCAGGTAACTATGTTAGTCATCACAACTTGTTTATATGGATTGTTAAGTCATCACTGAAAAGTAGGAAGTCAAATTAAAATAATAGTAGTTGCAAACAGGGTCGATGCCCAACACAGATAACTGCTGCTTGTGTTTGTTAACTTACAATGCATTCCAAAAAAATTGTATTTCCATGTTATAGCCACAAACGCTTTTCATTATCTCCCCAAACATCAGAAGGAGGAGAAATCAGAAGAATGAACCCTTCAGTAAATCTAGGTCATGAGGATGATTGAAATATGTTTTAAGTGGAATAGAAACTGTTGTAAAGAAAAAATTATCATTAGCGAACAAAAGGAAAATAGAGTAGAGAAATAACATGCGATAGATAATGCCTTGGAAGCTGATTCACTTGATCTAATTCTTTCAAACGGAGGAGGAGCACTTTTAAAGTAGTTCAGCACTGGCCTGCAATAGAGTAAAACACAAACCATTCGGCATTACAAAAGAAATTATAAGATGATTGAGAACAATAACACACAAATAGTGATATGAGAATGCAATAAAATCCCTATACAATTGAATTAATCCGCAGATAATAAAGTTAACTCAGCACAACTGCTTATTCAAGGTTGGTAACAGATACACTCCCGTCATGATCACCATCCATTTATCATTTTCTCCTCCTCCTACCATGACAGATTACTTAGTTACTCTTCCAAACTTGTGTATCCACTGCTTTTCTCAAACATCCTTAGTTTGTATAACAAATCAAATATACCCCTTGTTAGATTAAAATTAAAGTATGAACATGGCTTCACTTTTACACTCGTGTGTGACTCACATTTGTTATATTGTACAGAAAACTTATGAGAGACGAAGAGAACAGAGAGCCAGCAAAAACAAACTGAACAAGTTGGCTTACCCCAGAAGAAAAGGAACCAAATCAATAGCTCGACAAAAGGCCAGGCAAGCAAGCTCATGAAGGTATAAACCCTTCCCACTTCTTACATAAGATTCAATAATGCTGACAACCTCCGCATTCTCCACATTCTCCACTTCCCTTAGAAATTTATCCTCATCAAATGTCACTGACGAATCATCAGACCTCAAATTTGGCACCAAATGAAGTGAAGACACCACCTGCTCCACGATATTCTGTGCAATTGGTCGAAAACATCCCACCAATGGGATTGTATAATTCGGGTGCAGAAAAAACCCCACCACTGCATTCACCACCTCTTTTTCTGTCACCTTTTCTACCTGTAACCCCCGTAATGAATTAAAAGTACCAGATAAAAGCATGTGCAAACAAACACAAATAACAAAGGCTCTGGATGTACTAATGTAGTACCTTCTTTTGCAAGTCATCAAAATAGGGAACAGAAGCAAGCTTTGGACACCGAGAAAGAAACCTTTGGAGCTCAACTTCAAGGCGAAAACTCCCATCAATAGCCATTTAAAATTCCTACCAAATACTAAAAACAGTGCTGTCTCTGATTTGAGAAGGTTTCGTAGACAAGTCAATGATCAAAATTAACTTATAGCCGCGGATATCCAGAAACTGCATGGTGTAAAGAAGTCTACTTTACTATTTACATTAGCACAACCAAAAATTAATGCTAAAAATAATAAAATTTTGAATTATAGTTCAAGACTTCAAAAAGAATAATATTCGTCCAGCACCATCCCTGATCCCAGGGGCAGAGCCATGTATGGTTGAGTGCAGGCATTTGGGAAAAGAAAAGTTGGCCATGCAAGTTGGATATACTCTATGCTGGATATCCATGGACATTGGCCATTGGAAAACCTGCACTTTGGGAGAAAATTGGAAAAAAATGTTTGTCTTGATAAAAAATTTATGCCCGCACTGAAAAAAATTTCTAGCTCCGCCCCTGCCTGATCCCTGCTTGAGCTTTTCTTGCTGCACCCTAGAAAATAAGTACGGCCAAACATGACCAGCATGTCTGGTGTTCTTTTTCGAATTTCATCCTCTTTAATCTCAAATTAGTCGAAAAAACATATGTATAACTGACCTGATTGTTCTGGCTTCTGTATTTCGCGAATCGGAGTTGAAAAGCTAGGGTTTGAATTAATGGCTCCTGGGTAGTTGAGGGCGGGTTGGTTGCCAAAGCATGTCAACCAGATGCGACGGTTCGTATTTGTATGGGTTGGTAACATGTCTAAAACTTCAAAAGTTAGATATTAACTAAATTTTATTTATAAAATAATTAATTAAAAATATATTAAGAACGTCATTTTATACTGTTTAGTCACAAATTATTGAATTAATTGATTATAAATTATTTCTCAATCATAAATCAAAAATCTTATAGATCACAAATCAAAAAATTTGTATATTACAATTTATTCATTGCTCACAAATCAAAAAATTTGTAGGTCACAATTTATTTATCGATCACAAATCATAGATTTTATAGATCACAACTCAAAATTTTAAGTTACATATTAATTATTAGTTACAAATTATCGATCATATATTATTTATTAGACGCAAAATATCTAATTTATTAGTCACAATTTCAAATAATTGATTACAAACACTCTTAACCGCACCACCTACCCAACCTAACCCCAATCCACCATGGCACCAACTGAAAGTAACGTCAATCTACCACCATAGCCACAGCCATCACCTCCAACAAATACCATTTTCAACTTAAAACCACCACCACTACCTCACCACACAGCCAGGGCCACTACCACCTCCAACAAATTACCATTTTCAACTTCAAAACTACTACCACATCCATCACACCACTAGAATCACCAACAAACCACCAGTGCCATCGATGGATCCAACAAAAACCACCCCAATAGCCAGATCCACAATGCCAACATCGCTGTCGTCGCTAACAAACACCAACACTTAACCATCACCACTACTGTCACCACCAACACCAAAGCCAAAACCAAAAATAAAAACAAAAACATCGGGCAAACCAAAAATAACGATAGCGAAACCATTTCCATTTCGAGGTCAGAGGCAGCTCAAGGCACTGCTGCAACTGCAAACACTTATGAGGTGCACTTCTCCAACAGCAGCAACGCCATCTCACGGCACATTATGTTGCCGTGTGTCGACACTTTCCTTTTCCTTCGGTCATTGCAGAACGGATATATTGATCGATCAAAGGCATCGTGAGCCCATAGCCAACAATGCTCCAATGGTGGTATGTGGTAAAGAGATAGAAAAAATGAAGAGATTCAGATAGAGAAGGAAAAGTAAAAAATGATTCGAGCTTGGAAAATTTGGGATGTAGAGTGAGGTATATAGATTAATTAATTTTATAATATTGTTATATTATTAAATTAAAATAAGAAATTATCATTTGATTATATTATTAAATTAAAATATGAAATTATCATCTAATTTTTGTATAAACAAATTTTAAATCTAAATTTTGAAATCGGAACTTGAAAATTCTGGTTGGTTCTATGTTATTTACACGTTTGAATATACAAAATAATAATAATAATAATAATAATAATAATAATAATAATAATAATAATAATAATAATAATAATAAAAGCTAACAAGTATATCACTTTGATCGCGGGAACTTGGTCTAGAAGTCATGTGCTTAATTTATAGGCCCATTAGGTTTATTTTTAGCAAGTCATTGAGCCCATCTCAAGCCTGTACAGGACACGGGCAAATTTTGACACCCAACTAAACTCAAATTACAGACCCATATGTAGATCTGATCCAAGTGAATTTGGATCCACTTCAACATTTCTCAACTTTCATTAACCCATATACCCATCAACGCGCCACCAGATTTCACTCTTAACTTTCAGGAGGTGTATTCAATTGAGATTTTTAATGATTTTTTGAAATTTAAAAAGTATAGGAGTACTCGATGTAGACTTTTTGAGACTTACTGAAAGTATTGGTGTATTCAATTGAGATTTTTATAAACTTTTAAAAAGTCTCTATAAGTTACAGTATATTCAATTAAAATTTTTAGAAATCTCTATAAGTTTTGAAGTATTCAAATTTTAATGACATTTAAAGACTTTTATTAAAGCCTCCAGGGTACTAACTTTTAAGCATAAAATACTAAAATAAAATCTCAAAAGTTTTGATTTTTTATTTATTCTTTAAAGGTATATTATATTAATAATACTGAATATTAAATTTGTTTTTTATTACTTATTATTTATTTAATTAAGATCTTAAATTTTTATTCATTTAAAAAAATAAATATATGGAAAGAGAAAGGGGAAGGAGAAGGGGAATTGTAGAAACTAACACCTTGTATGTGAGAATTTCACATTATTTGTACTGGATCCACGTGAATTCTACTTCAAATGAAAGTTTTCAAAAGTTTTTTGAATTCTACAAAATTATTAAAAATTTTAAAATGAAAGTCTACAAAAGTTTACGAAAAACTTCCACTAATTCCATATAAATTTATAAAAAATTCACAGAAGTCGTCACTTAAAATCTTAAAGACAGTTTATTAAAGTTTTCAAAAGCCTCAAATGAATACACCCCTTGCTACACATCTGTAACAAAAATGGTTACTTATTCCATGTTCAAATCCTCCTACTTTTCCTCCCAACCTCTCCCTCCACCCACAATATCCAGACTCTCTACCACCCACTTCACTCCCATCAAAGCCATCGGCACATCTTCCTCTGAGCCTACTACAACCAAGCACCGTCGCCCTGTCGATGAGAACATCCAGGACGAGGCTTGCCACCGTAGATCGTCACATAACTTCTCCTCTAAGTACGTGCCATTTAATGCTAATCCAACATTTACCGAGTCTTATTCTCTCGATGAAATCGTCTACAGCAGTCGCTCTTGTGAGCTTCTCAATGTGCAGCATGATATGGAGGCTTTGAAGAAATTTGATGGGTAGTGCTGGAAGACTACGTGGCATTATGGGTCCAGGGTGTGGTCGAAAAATGAGTAGATTTTGTCAGAAATTGATAGTGATGTATTGTTAGTGCGTTTGAGGGGAACTCGAATTTGATCTGGACTAAGCGTTATGGCAAAGTGCAAATAATTTCTGGGCATGAATGATTTGTGGGTAAATCACTGTGGGATCAGCCACACGGGTAGTTTTAAAGATTTGGCCATGACTATTTTGGTGAGCCAGATGAATAGGTTGTACAAAATGGATCGACCAGTGGTAGGAGTAAGTTGCACATCGACCAGGACACTTCAGCTGCGCTGTCGACTTATTGTGTTGTTGCTGGGATTCCTTCCATTGTGTTCTTGCTAGCTAATCTGATTTCAATTGCACAGTTGTTTCAACCTATACCAATGGGGCTTTTATGTTGAGCATAGATACTGATTTTTGATAACTGTATGCAACTGATTTGGGAAGTGACGGTTATCGACTTATTTGGTAAACTCTTTGAATAGTTTGAGGCTTAAAGGGAAAAAACTGCAGCTATTGTGATCTTGCAACAGTTTGATTGGCAAGTACCTGATTGGGTTAAAGTTCCTGGTGAAAATTTGGGGAGTATATATGCATTTTATAAAGGGTTTTGAATGTATAAATAGTTAGGGCTTGTTAATAGGATTCCGAGGCTTGTTTGTGATCAAGCAACGAATGCTAATCCGCTTTACTTACACTTTAAATCGAGAGAAACTTGGGTGGGGCGGTAGCACCATCCACGTGGTGCGACTACCCAACCCCGAGGTGCCACATCGACAGATGGCCCACACACCTCGAGGGTGTGTGGGCGCCCATCCGTCGAGGTGGCACACTTTGATAGTGGCAGTGCGATCTCTCTACCTAAGTTTCTCTCATTTAAATCAGGCTAGAAGGAATTTAAGCATGTGAAGGCAAGGCACAACATGTGTGTTTGCAAAACAAATTAACGATCCGGTCTCAATCGACAAGGCTACTCTTGCCTTGAAGAATTCAAATGGGATTATCAAGGAAACGACTGAAGAGGAGTTGATGGATGCCACTGCATAGGTAGATTCAACTGGTAAGTTTATATGCCCTTACACTGGTGAGGCATTAACTGTATTAATTAAGCTGAGGAATTTAGGGGTTATTAAGCGGACTGTTAGAAATGTCGTGGTCAGTACTACTCATGGACCAAAGTTTACTTAGTCTAAGATTGATTACCATTCGAAAGAGATTAAAGACATGGCTTGCCGGTATGCAAATCTACCGACGCAAGTGAGAGCTGATTTTAGCTCGGTTATGGATGTTCTGAAGAAGTATCTGCTGAGTAAGGATTCCAAGTTTTAGGTTTGTTGTGACTTGTGAGCATGGTAAGTCCTTCTCATGTATTTTTAGCATTATATCCATTTTATTTGTTCTTATTTTTAGCATTAATTGGAGCAAGGTCAATCTTTTTATGTTGGGGAATTATACCATCACATGATTTTTTTCAAAACTTTTATTTTAAAGAACTCCATTTATGAAATGTAAATTTGAGTTATTTAGTTTTTCTTTCTTGTATGAAGTAGCTCTCTGTTGCCTTAAGTACCATACGATATTATGATTGCTTAATTGGTAAGTGGACAGTAGAGTATTGGATGATGTTTAAATTAAAAATGAATCAAAGTCTCGACTTTTAGATTTCAATCGTATCTAACATTAACAACCACATACTTGAGTTAATCCACTTTGAAAAACACCAGGTTTCATCTATCTCAATCCTGTCTAATATTGATAACCATATACTTGAGTTAATCAACCCTGAAACTCTAGGTTTCACCTATCAAATCAAGTAACGATCCTAAGTTACTCTACAAGATTCATAACTCATGTTCTTTTGTTTGTAGAAACAACTGCATTGGACACATTTTAAGGTTGCTTGACTTATAAGGTGGTTGTAATGACTAGGTTTCCAAAGTTGTTTCATTGCGGCCTCTAATCTGCTCCTCGGATAAGGATAACCGCCTATTTATCCCATTTTACTAGGCGATCAGGGTCCGACTAATATATTTTGGATGGATTACTTGTCTTTTGCATCTGTTAATATGCTGATTTTTTTATTCTCCAGGGGACCAATTGAAGTTTCTCAAGCAAACCCATCATAAATATTTTAGTCATTCCACGTCTTAAAGGCAAGCTAATAATGACGTATGGGTGAATAATATATGAAGATGTCCTTTT